ACATTAAATTATGTCAATTCCATTTACTGTCCATACCCATTATGATTGCCATTCAAGTCAGCAAGACACAGAACAGATATATTTGTTATGATTAAATACATTTCGATTCTCAAACGCCGCATCTGAATCCCGTGACGCTTTTAATGTGGGTCAAAGTAATTTATTTGGAAACACGTAACAAAGTCAATTCTCTAAGCAAACTATAAGCATAATACCATTACTCGGGGCATCATGGTTCACTAAAAGACGATTTCAGTATGCGACTTCTATGTCATTGTATGTAGGTTAATTATTATCAACATACCCAAGTAATCAGTGACCAAGACAAAATATCATTGTAACAGACACATAGTTCATACGAATTGATTAACATATTTGACCAACGACCTTGAATATGACTCAAGGAAAGTTTCTTTGAACAAACTTCATAGCTTTTTATACCAGAAACCTAAAGGCAAAACATGACAACTCTGTTGTTCTTCAGAAGGCCGTTGCAATTTAAACACGTGACCCATTGGAGCTTGGATGTAGATCGTTATCCTAATTAGCTTTAGGAGACACAGCATTACATTAGATACATGTTCAATAAATTTGGCCCTTGTGACCTCGACACTGGGTCAAGGTTATCAATTTGAACACATATGCGTGCCATCCACCCTAGCAAACTACATGGTAATTATCAAACCTCTAGTTTATAGAACAGGAAGTCGCTTACAGGGAAAGATGGCAAGCGGACGACGAACGGTTGATGAATGCTGCGCCATTGTATAAGCTCACAGTGACATCGTGCCAGGCGAGTAAACAATGGAATAATTATAAGAAAGAACGACAAAAGATCAGAAATAAATTTCATAAGAAATTGTTTAATCTATAAATAATTCTACATTTATTTGAAAGGACATTAAATATTTATACAGAAAAGGTAAATTATAGATATATTACATAATTCAATGTTATTTTTGTTTTTAATTGCCGATCCCTGATGCACAGGAACTGTCACTCGACCATTTAAATGCTATTGGCAACTCACCAACAGGTATTAATTACTGGTCACTCAATACATTGGTGAACCATTACAGCGTACTGCTGATATACTACACTTCAATGGTCATGCAACAAGCAATGATCACCCAACCATTAAACCGTAATGGTACTAAACCATTAAACTGTAATGGTGCTAAACCATTAAACCGTATTGGTATTAATCCATTAAAACGATGGTTCATCAAAGACAAAACTTTCATAATTCAATCGATATACATCTCTGATGTATACAGTAACTGTTTTCATTAAACGCTAGAACCAAGGATGTATTATAAGGCCATGTAATAAACTAATGTTTCCCCATTAATCTGTATTAATCTGAACTTTTGATAATCAAAACGTGTGTATACAAACTTCAGAAATAAACGTTCACCATTTGAAATAAAGCATGTTTGTTCCCACTTATAGCATGACCTAAACTGATATATTTTTGCAGAAAATGAAATAACGAAAACGTGAAAGATTAACAGAGATGCTGGTGATTACAGATTCCACATGAGACATCTTTCGATATTGGCATCAACTTTAACGACGTTTATAAAACAATAACTAAGCCTCAGTAAAATAAATATTGAACATAAGGATATATGTAATAATAAACTGTACATAAAATATTTCAAAATTTGCAAATAATGAAATCATAGAATTAAAGCATTATGATGAAATTCTCCTGTTGTGTGTAATAAACAATGTTTACATACATAATGTGACTATGTATTGTTATATTTCACAGAAGTCCACAGAACTGCTCTACCTGTCATTCAAATCAGTTGCACATCTTCCAAATTATATTCTGAAAATTCAAATATCAAAATGGGCATAGTATTGAATCATGATCACTGTTAATTAATTAGTTTGAACTTATCGTTCATTCACACATATATACTTATAATTTATGTTTTTTTTGCAATATGACTTTAATCTATTATACATAAAAGTAGACAAACAATAAAAAATAGCATACACCCTTAAATTTTAGTGAGACAGTTAAATTAAAGAAAATTCCAAAACAAACATCAAAAGCATTTGAGAGTGTGATACTGATTGTACAGTGGTTTGCTGGACATATATACGCATTGTACTTTGTCAACCAATAGCTGGCCATTTAAAATGTACTGATTGTTCAACTAAACATTAAAAACAACTACATGTGTATGGTTCAAAAGATGAGGTAAAAATATTTAAAAACTGACTGTAAACTTCGGTAGCATCTTTGTAAATATTTATTGAACTGTTCGGTAAAATATGTTTCCTGACGATCTTTCTGTGATATTTAATATGACTAGCAATACCTTACCGAAAACCAGCAGCTCTGATTTACCATTATTAAGCACAAACCTCCACCAAATTATTTCATAAAAAAAATGTTTTTTTAATATACTTCGAAATCGCGTTGAACAAAACACATTCGGAGGAGTTGGATTTCATTGCTTCAGTTACAGGGAATTGTCCATGTCATAGAAAAATACATTGAAAACTTATTTGATTTTTCTATGTTATCCCCTATTATTCAATTGATAAGATACTGTATTTACCTTGTACACAAATATTTCTTTATCACAAAGCACATATAAAATAGATATTTTTTTATAGATGAATTAATATCAAACAAAAGTGATTCAAAATACATTCAATTGAACCAAAAAAATATATTTAACAATATCATTTTCAACATAGAACACGTTTTTTATAACTGTAAAAATATTCCTTCACAACATCTCTTCACATGAGCCATAACATTTCGTTAATCATTTCTCGACCTATCTGTCCAATTCCTGCTACCACGGAAATGAAGGAAACATGACTTATCTCCCCTAGACATATAGAATATTGAACAAGGATTATCTCCCTTCGGCCAATCTAAATTTTATATCTCCATCAAAAAGAAAATTAATAAAAATAAAATTCCGTTTGAATATCATTTTGTGCTTTCAATCTATATATATTCGTTCTTCTTAATAGAAAGAGGATCCCATATCAGTTATTGTGTATGAATCTAAATTTCATTGATGGAGTGTTACATAAAGATTAGATGGAGAAGGAACGTATTTGAGATTCTTTTTTTTATATGATTTACCTGACCATGTAAATGAACACTTTCTGTAATACCTTAAACCAAAAACACACATGAAAATATCATAATTTTTGGTCTTGCATCGTGATATCTTGATGTCATCTCAAGTTGTCGCTGGTGACAAAAAAATACTATGATCTTCTATAACAAAAGGGGGATATTTAATAGTTTTGCATTAAATAATTTACATATAATTCATGAGTATGGCATAATATCCATATTTATTAGTACAATATTCTGTCAGTTGAGTTCAACATATATGGTATTCAATGGGGAAAACCATTAAATCTTCTATTTATTATATTTGTTTGATTAAAACAAAATATTGCTGCATCAAAAAGAGTTCATGGAAAAAGAAGTGTACACATCTGACCGCAAGGAGAAATTCGGTAAAACTATTATATTCTATGTAGCGAAGGTGTACTTCAACAATCACTGACTCTACTGTCACTTCATCTGAAATAGAAAGTACCAGTCTGATGGGTCAAGTCATATCATCACATGTGGAGATATACATGAAGCATCCTGTATATCTGCATTGTAGTGAACATACACGTTTTTTTCTTTCAAATTGATAATTTCTTATCTTTTACAAGTAAAAATGTAATAAAAACTAATATAGGCAATTTGAAGTTTGTGTTATCATGAAGATTGTTTCTAATTTTTATCACAGATATATCAAATATACAAACAACAAAATTAACAAAATCATAGTAAATGTACTTGTCGTAACCTATAAACTCAATTTGCAGACAGTTGCATAAAATGTTTTGGATGTAATAAATTAAATATAATTTCAGAATGAAAGAATTTTTCGTAAATGTCTATTATTTTTCCGAGAAAAAATTCTTGAACAATTTCCTTATCTGAAGAAAATATGTCAGCGATTATTTTTGTACAGAACAAAATAAGTATTTTATAAATGACCTATAAAACTATAATATACAGGTATGACATTAGTTTCGCTCCAAAAACATTTTATTCAACATTAAGTTTGATCACAAAACATGGTTAAGAATGTATCCTCCCCCCCCCACCTAAAAATAAATAGATGTTTATATACATTATCATCTATATCCATATTTCATAAATATACAGACATTAAAATAAATATATATTATGTTCTTCAAACCAATTCTTTATCTTGAAAATCAGTTTCTAACTTATGACCATACACTCTGGAAATTGTCGTGAAAAAACCCTGACCGTCAGTAGGTCTGGTAACTTCATTGCATTTAACATTAAATATATGGTATGTGAAATAAAATCAAATTATACTAGCACTAACTTAACTCATAAATCAATTTAAGGCAAAATACAACATACATTTTAAACCTAATAATCTCCATTAAGCGTCCTTTATCATTTTTTTGTATGAACATCCCATTCCTTTATTTATATATTACAAACTTACTACTGTATAAAGAAGTATCTGTTATGACTAATTTTTGAAAATTTTGGAAGGTTTTACAATTAATCTAATTTTGTCATATTGCTGACATTCAGGGCACTTATTTTAAGTACCAACAAATATTTTGGAAAAATAATTTAAAGAAACCTTAAATTATTCCGTTTCTATATTGAATGCATTCAAATAATGCTAAATAAAGGCTCAAGTTCATATTCTTTTAACCTTTTTATAGCCATATACATGTACAACACAAGTTTCAGTAGAAAATATTTGAAATGTTATGAACTAAGAATCATTTGAACATCAAACGCATGTATATAGAACACTGGTTACCTGATGTGTTACCTAAATATGGTATCAAAATCAACAAAAAATGACATCAAAAGTATTCTTAAAATTTTCTTTCTTATTTAAAAAAAAAATAATTTCATCTTTTTTTTAGTATAATCAAATTTTATGAAATCCTCCCTAACACTTTTTTTTCACTCTTTATAATATATCTTGAATAGGATGATACAGCAGGAGAAAGATGAGTTGAACCCCGTACAATATTGGACATCTGTACCAATGTCTGGAACTGGACAAGAATTTCCTCTTGTTTGCTGTTTATAGAATTAAATGCTCCCCTAGAAGAATGCTTTTGCTTCAAGGATGTTTAAAATGGATAAATAATGGATGTTGTGTTGGAGTCACTGAAACAAGATAATCAAAATAAAATAAACGACTCCAAAGTAAACAAAAAAGAACTCTTGTATAAATCAAAGGGACAGGTTAAATTCAATCTTCAACTGCAACTTTTCAAAAGCACTTTAACTTAAAATTATGGCACACAGTATTTTGTTATGACAGGAGATGAAATTAAACGGCCCTCATGGCATCATGAAAAAATATTTTTTACTTTTGTTGTTGTCATGGTCGTGATTGAGTCCTGCTCAAATTGCTTACTTTTGATAACTCACCATATATGTGTTTCCATGACAACGAATTCAGATGCTTATATATACATGTACATATATAAATATTCATGATTGAAGAGTTGCCGACCTTGACAACAGTAACAATGTGTTCAGAAATTTCAGTAGACACAGTTGTCCATGTAGGGCCCGGAGCTATACATGCGTTGCATTTCTTGTAGAAATCTGTGCTGTTCGGGTGACTGAACACCTCCACTGGGCGAGTGTACCGGGGGAGACACCATTGCTAAACTATGCGCAGGGGTCATGTGACCTGACGAAAAGTGTCCGGGATTCATGTGGCTGGTAGCCATGTTTGTCATGTGACTTGTTGGTCCGTTGGAGGCAGTAATCGCCAAAGGTTGTCCATCTAGTGTCTGGTTAGCAGTGTCACGGAAAAATTCGTCGCGGGAACAGTCTGTTTTAAGTATTGGGCGGTGGTTGTCGGGAAACGCCATTGAAAACAATGCCTCTGGGTCACACACAAACTTGTAGACATATCTCTCGCCGGCCACCTTCTGCATGATACCTTTCTCATAATAGTAGCGTAGGGAACGACTCAGTTTGTCGTAATTCATGGCTGGTCTATTCTTCTGCAAACCCCAGCGTCTGGCGACCTTTAAACAGAAAAGCTTAAATGATTTATCAATGTACATATTACAATTTATATGTATAAACAAACAATGTATGTATTAAACATATATTGTGTCAAAAGTGAAACTTTGTTATTACATATTTCCAAACTGTTTGAACAAAAATTTAAATGTTCGCTACTATAATACTGCTCTAAATCAACAAGTAAAGTCAGGTAAATTTGTCTAGAAATATGGCTGCTACTGCAATAATGATAATTTGAGGTTCTTATATACCGCTTTATCACAACCTAGTTTGTAGGTCGTCTCAAAGCGGTTCACAAATTATTATCCGTGGTTAAGGGCCTTTGCAACCAGCCAATATCGTTCCCTGGGGAGCATACAGCCGGTGCTGCCATTTCGGCTCATATAGCTAGCATTCTGCAATTCTAGCACTGCCCAACCACATAACTATTTACAGCTGAGTAGACTGGAACAAGCGGAGTAAAGTATCTTGCTCAAGGATACAACACAATGCCGTGGCGTGCCTCGAACCCGCAACCCTTCGGTCACGAGCCCGCGTCCTACCACTTGACTACCGCTCCTCCATCATTAAGTCATGTTGACCTTTATTAAACCTTAGATTGACAATATCTAAACTTGACCTTATCAAGGATACATCTAAAGCAAACTTGTGCAATGTTTCATGAAAATCTGTCAAGAAATACAGTCACTTAACCCTTTCACCACTGTAGACCATAATTGACTCATCCATATCAATGCATGGTAGAGTCTATCAAAGTTACATAGGGGTGAAAGGGTTAAAGAGTGATGATAAGTATAAGTAGTGTGTCGGACAGAAATGTGACACAGACATGCAGAAGGACAGACAGACAGTACATAAAACATAATACTCTCTGCATTGCATGGCTGGAGATATAATAATTGAAATAAACTTTCAAACAATACCTCTTCTGGGTCGATCAATTTGAATTCTAAGCCCCGCCCAGTCCAGGAGATGAAGGGGGAGTTTGAAGGATCATCCAATAGGACCACAAGAAACTGCCACAGTTGGAGGGATCCTCTTCGTTGATAGGTTGGGTGGGGACCGTCTCTATGGTAACGGTCAAGATAAAAGTCTCGATAGAATTCTGCTTTCATTTCCATTCCTGTGAAATACAGAAATTGAAAGAAAAATGATTGCAATGTCTTTTTTCAAAGGACTATTTAGTCAAAAACCTTAAACCATATTGACAAGCTAAAACAGGATGAATGCAACTCAAAGTATGCAATTCGGCTGAAATCAATCAAAACAGCGACAGGTATAGAAATCTCGTCATCCGAGTACCGTTACTGGAAGAGCATTATTGTCAGCAGGATTCAGGTTTCTAGAATGGACATCATCAGAACCTCAGTACTTCATAAAAAGTTACAAATTTCTTAATCAACAGAACAACAACGGAATCACGTTTTTTTATATTTAATAGACAGGTTTTTGTGGTAAATGTTAGACTTGAATTGATATAAAGCTTAATTTTCCTTGGAAAATCCTAGCTATAATTTCGTTGAATATTTTTCAAATTTAATAGGTCAACAATGTCTGATTTTCACATGCATATACAGTTAAGGTTGAAGTGTTAAAAGTTCATAAATCATCAGACACTCTTTTAAAAAAAGTCACCTCTACTTTTGGTCATCTAATACCATATAAGCAGAACTTGATCTTAGATGATAATGTATGAAAATGAAGGTACCAGGTATCTAAAAACAGTTTTTAACTGTGTGAGATAACATTTGTGCTAATCTGCACAATAATCTACCTTCAACATTTACCTGTTTTACAATCCTCTTACCTGTGTGATAGCCTACCTTTTTCATTCACCAATTTCATAATCTTCAAACATGTATGATAACCTACCTTTGTCATTTACCTGTTTTACAATCTTCTTACCTGTGTGATAGCTTAGCTACCTTGTCATTTACCTGTTTCACAATCTCCTTACCTGTGTGATAGCCTACCTTTGTCATTTGCCTGTTTTACAATCTCCTTACCTGCGTGATAGCCTACCTTTGTCATTTACCTGTTTCACAATCTCCTTACCTGTGTGATAGCCTACCTTTGTCATTTGGCTGTGTCACAATCTCCTTACCTGTGTGATAGCCTACCTTTGTCATTTACCTTTTTCACAAATATCTTACTTGTGTAATGATCTACCTTTGTTATTTTATATTGCTGTAAAATTCCTTTCAGATATATATCCCTCATAACATCATCATAAACAGTCGATACAGGTAGGTACTCAGAATACAAACACGGGATAATCATTACAAGCCTTCCATCCAGATTGATCATGTAACAAAGCCTACTAAAATTAAGGTAAACAACACCTCACCCATATGAGGAGCCCTAAACTCACATTTATGTTCCCTCGCTACAGTTACAAAGGTAAGTATCGTCAGGTTTGGATGTCAGCGATGATTACTTGTAATTCTAAGTTGACTAGATACAAATTAACTCCGCCAATTAATTCCGTCATCTGCCCACATCACCCGATACATTTAATCATTGGTAGCACTTGATCTCGCAACACCGGCCTATTAGAAAAGGCACCCATTGGCATACGTGAATATCGACATAATATGAGGATAAAAATCATTCTTACACAACCCGCTGTACAAAACAAAACAACCAGAGTCAGACCAAAAATAATAATTAATGAAATAATGTTTGGTATAAAATGTAGGTTTATATACATAATGGGCTATTTTTGCTATTTATGTTTTATGAAGAATATCTTTTGTTTAATTTTATTGCTGTTAAGATGTCTCATTGATGCACACTAGAAGTTCATTTCAGCTGTACACTTGTAAAACGTAAATAAAGCTCAACTTGAAACCATTAGCGATCTCCCACCTAACAAGATGGTACTCATAACCTTAACATGAAGAAATTTGTTCATTATACAAATATACATAAACACGTGTATAATATAAAAAAAATACTAATCCTACCTTTGACAATATCATAATAAATGATTTTTTTTTGCTTAGTTAAAGAATGAAAAAATCGGTACATGGGGAAAATATTATAATAAGTGATTTATAATAACAACCGATATCATAATAAGTGGGTTTTGCTGTATATATATATCCAAAGTGTTATGAATTAGAGAAAAACCAGAGGAGTCACAAAATATTTTACTCCCAGCTTTTACTTGTAGAATAGATACACTGTACTTGAAAAATTACAGGTATGAAAGACGTTTTTCTCTCTCATATCTATTTTTCTCTAAATCAAGGAAATATCAACCTATTTTGAGCAATTGCAAATTTTCCAGTGAGCGTCCCTGTTTGACGTGACGTGGCTTGATTGTAAATCAAAGACTCCCTGTCATTGTCTTCATTTATTGTGGCGTCACAATTACAACAATGGCAAGTGAAATGTCAAGTACCACAGATTCTTGCTAAAAACCCATGTGGCTGACGGATTCGGAGATCAAAACTGAGACATATATTTTTAACATCAGTATACCACACACTTCTGATAACCCTGCTTTAACTTAGCATTATTTGAAACCAGACTTACCAAATGACATTACTGATATATTATTTTAATGATTCTTGTTCCATAAGCAACAGTATCTTCAATAATTTCATCAGAAAAATATATAACTTATTGCAAAAAGTTGCTTGAAAGAAATATTTAAGGGTGTATGCTACCTTATTCTGTTTCCTTCCCAAAAGAGTTCCATATATGAGAAAACTATCATACCTGTCTATCTAGTTAACTGGTGGTGAAATTGAATACAAAACTGAAAAGTATACCAGGCGCCGGGATCATGAAACAATCTTAGACTTAAGATTTTGCTCAGCCAATCAGGTATGATGTCATTTTTCATGACATTATCTGTGATTGGCCGAGTCAAAACTTAAGACAAATTTAGACTTAAGATCGTTTCCTGATCATGTGGCCTGATGTATTAACAACAGTTGGGTACCTCTGATTTCATATTTTAAAATTAAAAATAACATTTTTTTCGACTTTTTCCCAAATAAATTCCATTGACACAAAAATAGATATTTGAAATCCGTTACTGTCCCTTTACAAACATATAGTAACACATAGATAGCTTCAACTGAAAAAACGTTAGGTTTTTTGAAATTGAAAGCTACACAAAACATTTTTATAGCACACAAACATACGAAAAAATAACAACTTTAGGCACAAACTCTATTTCCTATTATTAGTAGTGTTCCCTTATACATGCATTAATTCTTTAGTACCAATGTGTAGTAATCGCATCAAACTGGACAAGACTTAACAAATCCTTTTCTGTTTAGTTTAAGTAAATACTGGACAAGGTGTTTTGTACACTGCGCCCTCCATGTTGTCTATGTGTACATATTTTAGCTACTTAACCTTTCTCAATGTCATCAGGTATAATACCAGATAACATTTCTGATAGTCCCTTCCCTTTTGTCTAGTTCACATGATAGATTTAAGAAATTGTTATTGAACAGATTTAGGGGAACTCACTCCCCGTTGTCTTGTATATATTTCTGCTATTATTAGATTTAAAGTAACGTTATTTGTCTAGTGATAATTATGTGTCTTTATCATTAGACTCAATAAGACTCGATGCCTGTAACATTAACTCCATTCTTTTGTCCCCTCAGTAGTTCCCTGTAAAATGTGCTTTAATATAACTTGATTCAGACTTATATATTAAAAACACTTGTTTTTTGTTTGAATTTTTTGTTTGAATAAAGAAACACAAAAATTAACTGTTTTTTTTTAAATTTTCAAACTAACAAGACCGCAAAAATGTTTCAGGTATAAAAACTCAATACTGGGTCGAAAAATGGAACAGATTGTGAGTTTTTGAACATGTCCATCAAGTATCTTCAAACCCGTTAATCTATCCTACATCGCCACCGATATCGTATCAAGTGGACACACAACATCAGAGGCGATAAAAGGATCTCCAGTACGACCACCTAATTTGCAAATTTCTGAGGCTTCATTTGATTGGCTAGTTGGCCAATGACATCTAAGTCGACATGATCAATCGACGGCGAGATACTTAAGAAGCCGACACAAGTCTGGGTGCGTGTTGACAATCCAGTTCTCCTCATCTTAAGTCTCTGCGTATTGATGCTGATCATATGCAGCAACAATAGACGACCATAAATAAACTTTCATCAATAGACGCCCTACTATTGATGTTGAAGGGCCAGAATTGAAATTGTCCAAGAGAAAAAGCACACTACATCAGAAGAAGTATGTATTATAAAAAATCTGTGTCAATTTTCTGTTGCTTTTCATTCCTCAGTTTTTAAATACAACGAAGCACATATTGCTCAATTGTTTTTCTTTGCTTAAATATATCATTTCACCATTTAACCTAGCTCACTGAACTGCTCTAACTAAACAAACAAATTTATAGATTTTACGTCAGTGGAACGAAGCTATCATCAAGATACCTTGGAACGAAGTCATCATGAATATACCTTGAATTATCATTACAAATGTAGGTCAATGATAATAATACAGAACAGCATTATTTTCACAGCAAACATGTGATTGTGTCTCATTTATTTAAATCTCATTTCAATATCATAACGAACACTTCCTTTTCGTTTAATGGAAGACTTTTGCCGCTCTTCAAAAATTTGATTAAAAATGTGACATCAGTATAATATATCTTTTTCCCAAAAGAACTTAAAACAAAGAAACAAATATTTTCTTTTAACTGATTTGGATATGTTGGAGACATCTTTTATTTATTTATATATTTGATGATATAATTAAAAGATAAACAATTTTCTTTTGAATTATTAGATGTTAATGTAAATATTTTCAAAGGAGATAACTCTTAGAAAGAAAACAGCCACTGTTTCATTTCGACGACCGCATATGTCCGTAATGAAAAAAATTATGCTGATTATTCAGTATTTTTGAATTATTATTTTCACATTTATCTTTCGTGAATTGATATTGGCTACATAACCCCAAGATACTTGAACAATGGTTAGTCAGTCTCTTTATCTAGTTTTAGGATAAATCTACTTCCAAAATAAAGGATCTCAGGATTTATCTGTACTTTTGAATGATGTTTTGAAGCTGACCTAACACTATCAACTTCAGAAGTTCTTTGACAGCAGAAAA